GTCAAATGCAGGCTTCGTGGGCAGAGTGCCCGATCAGCTGGGGAATCTCTCTGCCTTGCTCTACCTCGACCTTTCTTATGATAGAGATTATTTCCCTCAAAACTTGTTCATCGAAAACCCTGAATGGATCTCTCGGCTCGCTTCACTTCGGCGTCTGAATATGAATTCAGTCGATTTTAGAAGTGCGTCCAACTGGTTACGAGCATTGAACGCCCTCCCTCATTTTCGAGAAGTTGAATTGTCTGGCTGCTACTTGGGAACCTTACCTCGTTCGCTTCCTTATGTCAACTTCACATCTCTCACCAGACTTGATCTTGGATATAACGGTTTCAACTCTAGCATACCAGATTGGTTGCTTAATATAACTAGTCTCCAGTACCTTTACCTTGGTAACAATTCTCTCTCGCTCTTCCTTCCTGCCATTGCCAAGCTGACATCTCTCAGGGCACTCGACTTGTCGGGAAATTTGTTCCACACCGGCTTTATACCGAGAGCTCTGTCCGACCTCTGCAAGCTCCAAAGCCTCCGACTAAGTGACACGTCTATCAACGATTCGCTAGACAATTTGGAAGTGGCTTTCTCTGGATGCCTTAGGTTCAGCTTGGAGGAATTGGACCTTCGCTCCACTAGGCTTGGAGGTTCCATGCGAGCAGATTGGTTAGGAAACATGAAGAATCTCAAATATCTTTATCTTTCTAAGAATTCGCTCCATGGTTCAGTGCCTGATTCTCTTTTTAACCTGCAATTGCTGCAAGTTTTGGATCTCGGTCTCAACAATTTGAATGAGTCGATTCCCGAAGGCCTCGGACAACTGAAAAGCCTTTTCTATTTGGATCTCTCCAGTAACTCATTGAGCTTGTCTGAAGTCCACTTGGCTAATCTATCAAGTTTAAAGTATTTGCATATTTCTTTCATCACGTCGTTCCTGATGGAAAGCCATGATTGGACTCCTCCTTTTCAACTTATATCACTGGGAATGGCTTTCTGCCAAGTAGCACCGAGGCCTCATTTTCCAGTATGGCTCCAAACACAGAAAGATCTTTATACGTTAGACTTGAGGACAACAGGAATCAAAGAGACGATCCCTAATTGGCTTCCTTCCGGTCTCAGGCTTTTATTCCTCTCCAATAATGAGATTACCGGCGAGGTGCCACAGTATTTGCCGAATCTAATAGCTATGGAGCTCTCAAATAATTCCTTCTCCGGCCGTCTCCCTCCAGGTATCTCAAACACGATGCCAAACTTGCGCTTACTTGACTTATCCAGGAATAATCTGAGTGGCACAGTCCCACTCTCTATTTGTCGAATTAAGTATTTGGAGATACTTGGACTCTTCCAAAATAACCTCTCAGGAGAGCTTCCCAGTTGTTGGAAGAGTTCTTCAGTTCTACGAGTGCTAGATGCATCAAACAATAAATTACAAGGAGGAATTCCTGATTCCCTCTGCAATTTGCAGCGGCTGCAATTACTACACCTGAGCCACAATAGTTTATCTGGGCAGGTCCCTTTTTGTTTAAGAAGATGTACGAGCTTGATTAACCTTGATCTAGAAGACAACAAATTGATCGGAAGTATACCGGATTGGAGCAAAGAAAGCCTCCTGAAGCTGAAGGCACTCAGCTTAAGCTCTAATGCCTTCAATGGTAGCATTCCTCAATTTTCTCATCTTCCATCCCTTCAAATATTGGATCTTTCAAACAACAACCTTTCCGGAACTATACCACGAAGCTTTGGGAACTTCCGTGCTATGGAACTCTCCTTTCAACCAGATTACAATAGTGATGATGAGTTTTGGGACGACCACATGATGCTCTTCATGAAAGGAAGAAAATTGGAGTATGACCGCTCACTACTTACATTAGTTACGATTATCGACCTTTCCAACAATGGGTTGTCTGGATATATCCCTGAGGAGTTTGGGAATCTACATGGATTGCGGAGCTTAAATCTATCTTGGAATCACTTGATAGGAGAAATACCAAATAACATCAGTAATTTGCAACAACTGGAAATACTTGATCTATCAAGAAATGATCTTTCAGGTGCAATTCCTTCAGGCTTAGCGGATTTAAACTTTTTAGATCATTTGAACTTGTCATACAATAATCTTTCTGGTAGAATTCCCACCGGCAATCAGTTGCAAACTCTTAATGATCCATCTATCTATGCCGGCAATCCAAATCTTTGCGGTCCTCCTCTTTCCAAAATTTGTACAGACGATGTGTCCGAAGGTAATGAAGGAGAGCCAAATGAAGACGCCGATAGTAGAATTGAAACTATTTGGTTGTACGCAAGCATCACACTGGGATTCATCACAGGATTTTGGACAGTTTTCGGAACCCTTCTGTTGCACAGGAGATGGAGGATTGCCTACTTCAGAGCTGCTGATAGCATATATGACTCGCTCTGTACTGTGATCTTAGTGAACATGGCTAGGATCAAAACGAAAGTACTCAGAAGAAGTCGAGAAAACTGACACACTATAGGCGCTTCGATTACCATTACGTGGTATGTAACATGCTAGCTCATGGTTTTTATTTCTGTCGCGTGATCTAAACTAGCGAGACTCGAGCTTTTGCTTGTTCTATGTATCTGTGTAAGCAAAATGTTTTACTTCGATTGTAATCTTATTTTTCCTTAAGAACACTGTCGGATGGGCTAAAAGCTCTTATGCTTGCATCTTTATGAGAGTCATCTTTGTTGATTGATACGGGTAAAAGCGTACAGCAGAAATTATATCTCTTTTCTCCTAATTGTCATGTTCATCTTCTTAGGCCTTTTTCTATAATATCGGCAACAAAAACTACTATGGAAGCTAATAAAGGAAACTGACATGTTGTGAGCCATAATTGTCTAAAAGAACAAAAATCTTCGAACCAAATGGATCAATTTGGCATCTACTGATTTCACCAATTTCGGAGAAAGAGTATTCCTCTTGCAACATTCTGGTCATTCATTAGATATCCAGAGATGATTTTTGAAGACAAAGAATTTAGCGTCAGCAGAAGATTAGAAGCACAACTGAGTGCTTTCCTTTGCTCCGGCCCCTTCCAACTCCACCATGTATAACTGTTCTCGCTGAGGAGGATCCATTGATTCCTCGCTCGAAACTTCTTGTGCTGTCAAGGCTAGCAGTCCCAGAGGCAGGAACAGCATATGTAGTCAAGGAAACTGGTGGAGCACTCATAGCAGCAAGAGCAACTGCAAAATGGGAGATCATCCATCGAAAAGAACAAAACAATCAAAATAACAAAGTAACAATCACCACTAAAGAGAAACAACAAGAGAGATGAGACGGTGACAAGACTTACCATGCATTGATGATTCTATCTTGTGAATCATCCCCGGTTGACATTACTTGAGAAGATGGTGGCTCCATCAATCCCCAGAGAATGGTGAAGGATGGGATGTGAGGGATCGATACAAGTTCACAACACAGAAAAACTGCAGGGAGACCATAAAGTATTGGTATCTTTTGTCCTAACTTGGTGTAGGTCGAGCTGTGAGAATTTAATGGGGAAGGTTATCTGCAGATCACAGCAGTGCGCATGCATGTGCTGTGATATTCCATTCGATACTACTTTACAAAGTTATGAACCTTTGCAGAAATAGTGGCCTCCAGTTGCCAATGCCCGCAGGCAAGTACTTTTGGGTTCTCTTTCAGAGGATTTCCTGGCATTGCATGAGTGATCAGGGCAAATTTATCTGAGGTGGAACAGAAAAGGTGACGATGTTTGAGTTCTATATATTGATTGATATCTTATTGATAAAAAAGTATGCGACTCTTAACTATTATTCAGTGTGTTTCTCCCTCATTAGTCACTGAAATGATTTCGAAACATATATATGAATAAACAGATATCCTCCTATTATTGAGGTTAATTCCATACCATATATAAGTGGACTTGAGATCCAGTGAAATCATTGCCAAAGAGCTATGTAGTTTGAAGCATATATATATAAAGAACTTCAACCAAATTATGCCTAGAATCATTAAAAAAATGCATAGTTGATAAGATCACATTTAGCATCACTAAATAATCACTTATACATTAGATGTAAAACTACATATATTAACCCTCTCGTTCCCACTCACATGGAAGACCATGGGCTCCAAAAAGGAAATTAGGGGCTTCTTTGCTCTTTAGAACAAATGATGTAATACTAAATAAAGAAATATTTTTTTTTTCACCAAGACTGCTAATTAAATCTACCGGTTGTTTGGCAGATGTCTGAAAAGGAAAATTGAAAATGGAGTTCACCATGATTTCTCAATTCTATTTTTCCTGCTAATTATTCAATTATAGACTATCATTTATTTATTTTTTTTCAATCAAAGTGATGGTCAGATCCAGGGACACGAGACCTCTGATCGATCGCATACGGTCGAACGCTCGATTGTTTGGCCTCATGAAAAATATGATCTGACGACATAGACTATAAAAGTGATAAACGTTATATCACACCCTTGCCTAAAACACTCATGCCCAATAATCTCGGATGTAATAGTTCCCGGACCATCTATAAAAGGGACCTCAAGGTACGCATCCTAGGGATTGGTCTATTTGATTTCTCTAATCAATTCGACTAGTTCGATTAGCTTGACTAATTTTAAACTTTTTGACCTCGCAAACTTAATCATCAAATGGGCTTTTATAGGAAACGCCCCCAACTCAATCTTGTAGGATCGATAAATCAAGAAATTTCAAATAGAACCTAAGACGACTTTGGAATAAGTATTAGTTGGATATGACTCGCCTCTCCAATTCGGATAACTAAAATTTGACTTAACAGATTGGTGCTAGAAGGCCCTCGACATCTTGAACAATCCAACTATTTAATTTGATACGAAGAGTAAGAATATATTCGAACATTGGTAGTTTATTAAAGAACCACCCAGTTACATGTCAAATTCAATTTTAGTACATATTCAATCTTTTGATCATATTTCGCTGGTCTAAGTTAATTAATGGATTTAAGTTAATCTAAGAATTTCTCATCCCATCACACATCCAAAATTGTATTATTCCAAAAAAAGTTCAAGGTTTTCTTTTTGACACTCTAAAAGTGAAATTTTGGAAACTGTTTTTTTTTTCTTTCTATTTTACTTTGTTTTTTATTTTTGAAAAATAAAAAATTGATGCTCCCTTAATATTCTTATCACCCAAAGAATTGCATGAAAACAATAAATTTCCAAGAGCGCATCTTATAGCTTTTTACCTATCTTAATGACTTAAAAGATTAGTGTAATCAATTAGAAATTGTTGTTGCAGTGAAGTACGAATAGATTATTTTCAATAACATACATAAATATATGATACTTAAAGAGTATTTATATCCACTAAAGTTCCCATTAATATCATTGAATTGGAACAGTTACAGAAGCATATCTACATTTCTAGATTCTACAAGAATACATATTCTAACACAAAATTAGAGAGGAGAATAAAAAATTCACAGACTATCAATATATATATATATAATTATAATTTTGCCTTATATATTATCTTTATTAGTTTTAAAGCATTAAAAGAAAAAACAACAATGAGACAGTAGCAGTGGTAATAATAATACTTTTATCGGTTTGAAAACCGTGTGAGATGCAATGGAAGCATTCTTTGAACTGACGATCGACCGCACTCGCTCCCCGCGTCCTCCATTCCCCCTTCCTATTATTAGCTGGGATCTTTTTATTTGCGGTTCCACGAATCCGATGCGAGATTAACTGAATTCTCATCGATATTTGGTTCCGAACCCACCGATCTACCTGTCTAGATTTGGCTTTTGTTCTTTCTTTCTTACTCTGCGAAGTTCCCCCGATTCTGAAGAGTTCCCCCTCTCTTGCGAAGTTTTGGAGTTTGTATCGTTCGTCGACCGACAAATTGGGGCTTCTGATGTGAAAAAGATCACTTTTTTTGTTTTTGTTTTGGTTTATCGGGACGAGCGAGAGGCAGATTTTTGTCTCCAGAGATGCTGGCGGAGATGATGAGCCGGAGGGACTTTCAACTCTTCGCGGATGGCTTCTTGGACGGAAACGTACGCCGACCGACAGAGATCGAAGGCATTGCAACGATCAACGTGACCTCGTCTTTGCCTTCTCCGTCGTCGCCGTCTTCCTCGCCTGGCTCCTCCGCTGGATCCAGTCATATCCATCATCGCGTCTCCAAGATGGACACTCTTGCTGGTGTTGCGATAAAGTATGGCGTCGAGGTAATTGTTATGAATCATAAAAACATTGGTCAACAAACCGCTGCAATTGAAGAAACATAATTTTATTGTGCTTTTGATTATTCAGGTGGCAGACATCAAACGATTAAATGGATTAGTGACGGATCTTCAGATGTTTGCTCACAAATCCTTGCAAATTCCTCTGCCCGGAAGGCATCCTCCGTCGACTTATCTATGCGACGGTTCAGTAGAGAACGGGTATTTCCTCTCGTCTTCGGCTTGAAACAATATATTGTTTTTGCATATGTCTGAATATGTGTAAGGATATGAGTACTGATGCGAGATTGTATTGTGTTTGGAGCTCGTCTGAGTTGTTCTTGATGACATACTGAAATAAAGAAAGATTGAAGTTTGCACAAGTAGCTTCTATCTTTTGATGCATCCTGTTTTTCTCATATTTGTTTTATGACGATGGCAGCAAGATATCAGTTGTCTCCTCATGATTCATTTATTGCAGAGAGCATTCTCCGCCCTATCAACCTCGTAATGATGTTTTGGATTTGATCGAGTCCCTCAACTGGAAACCTTCTGCATGTAAAGTTTCTCCTGCAATGAGCAAGTTACAGGGATACTATGGTCTCACCCCCAATAAACGGAGGCCAGAGCTTGGAGGCGCGGAGATGGCAGACTATAAAGTAGGAAGACGCTGCTTGAATGATGAATTATCATCTAAAGAATCTCCCACTTCTGATCCATTTCCAAGGAGGCATAGGAAGTCTAGAAGTATGGCAAATGGATTCTCAACAGAAAATGGAGACATCACTGGGGAAAATACAGTTTTAGAAGCTGCGGATAATAATGAGACTGAGAGATCTATTAGGAGACGTCAAAAAACTGATACCCCAGAATTTTTGGATAGCAATGGTGGATTCTCAGGTAGGGTAGGAAAAGGAATAGCACCGAGGCCAAAACCAGGGAGCAGGACTGATACCGATACCAAACGCTTGAGTGCCATCCTCAGTGGTGATTCTGTCAAGACTGAAGGTCTTTTTTCTGTCAGGAAATCCTCCAGCACCTCGTGTTTGCAATCGCAGGACCCTGATAATAACTCTTCCCTCTGGCCTAGAAGCAAGTGGATCTTGAAACCAGACGTCCTTGCTAGGCCAATATTTGATGGCTTGCCCAAGTCCATGACTGCAAAGAGGAATAAAGCTGCTCTGGATTAGCGCCACCCACAGATCATGATTAGTTCTACATATTGGTGTTACCCAAATTGTGGAGATTCTGACGGAGATTGTAAGTGCGGCCTCCATTGTGCAAGGCTTCGAGTTGTTACATTCTTTTTTGGTCATCTTATCACTGTTTGTATATCGTTCATGTGTAGCCTATCATGTAGAGGGATTCTTTTGTATCATTGAAGTTGTTTATTTAAAGAGGAAACATCGATTGTTGTACCAATTTCTAAACTGGCATTTATATAAACATAGCTCCTATTCAAGATGGAGTCTTACCCCTTGTGCTGTGTACTTTGTGATAATCCACCATTAAGTTAATTGCTTTCTTTATTGTGGTCTTGTCGTTTGGTTCTACCAATATGAGATTTTGCATGCCATGTATCATTCTTGAAACAATTCTCACGACAGTTAATGTCAGGAGGTATGAAGAAGCACTGGAATTTGCCAATTCATATGATATAATAGATTAAAAAAGACAAATATTCTCGCATGCAACAGGCTATTCTTGCTTTGATAGATTGAAGTGTGTCAGTGGTAACTTTTCTTCATCGGTTCTTCTATAATTGTGTTTCTTTTACTCTCGTCGGATCTCATGTCAATTTCTCTTGAACCATGTATTGGCCGAGACTGGCCATCTGTAGAGTGGGAGCAAATAGAAGCAGGAACACAAGCAAATGATAGCAGCTGCACGACCGGAGAACACCATCACCGCCAGTGTCGCCACCGTGATCCATGGCCCGACGACAGACAGCACGAGCCTCTCCGATCGAACCGGTCCGCGGGGGGATGCACGGCCGAACCGGGATGTTGTTGGCCTGCTGCTCCTCGCCCCGATTTGTGGAGCCAATTGCGAGCGACAATCGATCTCAGGTGAGATGTGGGTGACAACATGTTGACCGCGTGAGTCGAGTTTTGGATCGTCTTCTGCCTCTGCTTGTTGCTGCTGCTGCTGCTGATCCTCGATTTTGGTTTGGATACCGCTGTTACACTCCTGCATTCACAAATCATTAAACCACGTCTATGTATATATATTAAACGTTCATGAAACATGGACTGCTACGCATTAATCCCATCTATGACGTGATCACCATGAAGAGTTTGACTCGGGACGACAGCGAAGCCGCACTCGATGACGCACAACTCCCACGGAAAAGGAAGCGCGAAAGCTTCGGCACGACACTTCCACGTAGAGGCTACCACTTGGACTCCTATACCTCGCAGCTTCCGACTACAACATTATTTGCGATATGAAATGCCGGCCGTAACGATATACTTAGATATCATATTTGGGTGTGTTAAGTTGAGCACCGCGACATGTCCCAACTTGATTCAAAATTGAAGTCTCGGTCAACTGACATGACACGCATGAAGGATCTAACATTACAGCCTTGAGACATTTTCGTAGTTTGTGAATGTCTTGGATTCAAGAAAAGTTTAGGATCTAACAGTCCATAAGAATTCCAAGATTACTCAAGATTCATGGAAAGGTTTCGGAACTTGTCGACAGTGATTCCACAAGGAGATAATTGGGACATGAAGCACTTCGATTTCATGTTAACACTCTAAGCGTAAAGAAGCCAATGCAGGCAGGTAAATCTCTCTGACCTGAGCAAGTGGTGACCTCCCTTCAACTGCATTAAGATCAGTTGATGGTGGCGTCGGAGCATTGAGGAGTGCCGCCTTCCCCTTCTTCTTCCTCTTCTTCGTGTTTCGACACCGAGGCCACGAGAAGCAGGATGAGAGCTTGCGCTTGGAGCCCGCGCCTGGCTTCGACTCCTCCGGGAAACCGGAGTCGGAATCGGCAGAGCTGGAGAAGCAGGTGAAGCAGGATGCCGATGTCTTCTTCCCTTGTCGGATCTTGTTGGTGCTGTTCTTCTCAGCAGACATAATTCTACGAGATAACGGAGATCAGCAAGGCTGGTATCGGTTGCAAAACTCATCATCTTCTTTAACAAGCGTGTACAGCATGATGAGAAAATAATATTGAAATAGGATTATTGGTTCCCACTCCTTTTATTCCTCTTAAAGAATCAAGTAATCAATGCATATATATATACATATATGCCGAGTGGATCGACGAATGTGAGAAGGTCAACAAGTCTGTAGAAGTACTCTGTGACGACGATCACCGCCCCTCCAAGAAAAGAAGACCGATGTGAGGAGGTGAACGAGCCCAGAGACTGCCGTCAATGTCATCGCCCTCTCCAAGAAAAGACGCTAAACTTTGTTGGCGGATCATATATCTCATTAGCTGTGTTTTTCTGGATCTATCACTTCATTATCAATATGGGAGATATGAATTGTAGCGAGCTCGAGTATAAGTTGTAATAGAGGAGAAGAATACGATCTTTTACTGTGAATGCTTTGTGACAAATCTATAAGAAAACTGAAGCTAAATGCAAAGCAGTTTCTTTCTGATCTTTCGAATCTGAATGCATGTTTGCTATCATAGCGGAAAAGAAACTATTCAAGAGTTGTTGTAGATGGACAGCTGATCAGATGCAAATATAATCGAGTCGAGTTGTCGTCTTAACCAATTAAATCGTATGGGTCCGAAAGGAAAACTAAACGATCCATGGTTTCTGTGTCTCGAACTCTATCTTGAAACCCAAGTAGCAAAAGGGTAACTAATATGGATCATTGTCTTCATCAATCTGAGTGTTAGCATCCCACAGAGATGATGAAAATAGGCTATAGCAAATAAATACTTCTGTTCTTTATGCATAAATCAATGTTCTACTTGATTTTCGATTATTCGTTCAGTGTCAAATCTGCAACAAACAGAAAGAGAAACATGCAAGTTTTGTTTTGCCCATTTATACGCCCACTTAAGTAGCAGCTTCTGTGAGTCAATCCGGTACCTGATGGGCGGCGCCTCTATCCAATGACAATGGAGCTCTGAGAACTGCACTGGCCATTGTTGACTGTGTTGAGTGGTCTTGAAACTCTGGTTTCAAAATGCTTCTTTTATGACTTTAGACTGCAAACTTTTGACACTTGAACTTGTGGATGTAGCACTTCCTTTCATATTCACTAGTGGAAGTAGTTGTTCCAATCGCTACTGGTACCTGAAGCTTCTTCTTCGTTAGATGAGAAGTTTCTACAGGGAACTTCACTGGTTCCTTAGCTAACCTTGGTTGTTGCATACTTCCAAAGCTATTCAAAGATGAACTTATTTCATTGAACTCATAGAACATGGAATTTCTTCTGGAAAGCCAAGAAGGCTAGCAGAATAGTATTCTCATGTTATTTTCATCACCGTCTTTGCATCAGTCTATCCACGTCCTGTTCTTTAATATTCATATATATTGACCAATACCATCGAGGTTCCAACAGCTGCATTATGTCTCAATTATTGATATCTTGTTGACCAAAACAGATGAACGTTCCATCAGACATTTACGAAGTACACAGATTCATTTGTTTTGAATCCAAGAAAAAGAAGGTTTTTGAGATTCGTAGAATAAAAGAAAAACAGGTGATTATGGAAGGGACAATTATAATATTTACGCTTCTGATGCATTATTTCAGCATAAATGACGGTAAAAGTATCATTTTTGTTTTGATGTGATAAACGTTAGATGGTACAAGAAATCGCTCCTTCTACTTAGAAAGGTATATTAAAGAAAGTATTATGAAAATAAAGCACTAAATTCACTAAAAGAATGATAATTGTGGAAGTGTCCTATCACGAAACAACTGAGGACCAAATTACAGATTATGAATAATAGTTCAACTTTTCTTCGTATAGTTATTACGGATTGTTATTTGTAGTGTCGCTTATTTGGTACGGAAAAGTTAACCTCCAATCACAACTTATCATCTTGGGGGATGGGCCCAGCCATATTATATTAATGAAAATTTATTTTTATTATGAAAAAATATCGTTGATATACACAAGATTATCCAATATATATCTGAGTTAGAAATATTGAGTTTCCAATATGCCATATGTATGAAGATCGAGATCGAATAAGGTTTCTTGACCTGATCCCTTTAACGTCCAAGTTAATAACACGAGGTAGATGAGTGTGATCGTGAGTGATAAAAAATTGATTCCATTGTGATTACACTAAAAATATCATAAAAAATAAAAATATTCTATAAGAAGACAACTATCAATCATTTTTAACAACATCCACTTGCTTTTTTTCTTTAAACAGGAAAGACAATTTACAACTACTCTTATTGGACCATTGTCCTTATGGATAGATCACTAGGGGCAATCTATGTCTTTTTTATTTTGGCTTGGATGTCACACGAAAGACTGTGTCAAATGAATATTGATAGATTATTTGTTATGTCGCTTGAAAATAATATTTCAACTTTTGTCATGTGGTTATTATATATTACTGGTGATGTGGCTATTTTAAATATAGATTACTCATGATGTATTACTTGAAATTATTGATTACATATTTTAATTACATTTCGACTTTCATCCATTCTCACGTTCATTAAGTATAACGTCTTTAACCTCCTCTGCATCACATTTTCTAATATATACACACTATATTATTATATGCTAATATCAAAAAATATATTTTCTCAAGATTTATTGAATTATCCTTAAGAGTTATTTATCTCGATAGATTACATAGTTGGTAAGATTTAATGTAGTGTACAATCTCAGCCATAGTTATTGGAATCAGATCTAACCAATTAGAATATTAAAAATCGACTTAATTATTAGATCGAATTGAAAATTCAAAATGAATTGATTGAGCCAATCGGCTTTTGGATAATTTGCATGAACGAACTAAGTTACATAAAATCGGATTACAAAAATAATTAGACATTATTAATTTTTTAGAATATTTTAAATATTATTTCTATGAGCTCCAAATGCCATATACGACCCCAACAGCATGGGAAGGAGAAAAGAGGCGATGGGCACAACCATATACAAGTATTTAGGGTGATGCGACTTCTCACCGAACCAAAAATTAAGACCACATGTATACGTTTCACTCATTAATTCTGCGCAAAAATGTCATCAAATCAAGAAGAGTGATTCAACCGAGTCTTATGCGATTGATTGCAACGTGAGTTCGAAAGTTAGTGGTCTGTTTTATCTTTTTGATCTTTTTGAATTAGGTGTAAAATATTACACTTGTTTTTTGGCTTTTGTCATAAGAACTTTTTTTCTCCGTTGAAAGAAAAATTAATTGATTAGCTTGGAACCAATTTCCATCCACTTCTTTGGACATTTTGGCAGCGTCTCTCTGGAATTCTGAAAGGAGCAAAAGGAAGAGGACACCTTTTATTCTCCCCAAAACCTAACGCATTGATTCGGTATAGGCTTTTAGTGGGGAAGGCGATTGGAAAATGGAAGCATTTAATCACAAGTATTGTAACACATATATTGTAATTCACTTCCATCTTAGTCACAAATGCCATGCCTCTCTCTCTCTCTCTCTCTCTCTCTCTCTCTCTCTCTCTCTCTCTCTCTCTTTCATATATATATATATATATATATAATATTTGGGGATAGTTTGGCCCATAGTTGACGGCGGGGGATTCCTTCAAATGTGTCATGTTGATTACCACAAACAATCAATTCTTCCATCTCTCTAAAAGAATTCGAAAGAGATCCATTTTGGAACGAAAACCAAACACAATGCCAAGGCACAGGCATTAAGTGGGGAAGGTGATTGACGACGGAGGAAGCATTTTAACCCCAATTATTATAGGAAATATGATGAAAAATACTTCCATCTTAGTCACAAATTCATTTCATAGGTAAAATTTCCTTCCATCCTATCCTATGGAATCATATCTCAAAATCAATTCGTTCCGATTCACATATCGTAGAACGGACTCAAAACACTATAAATAGAGAGCATTTGATGCGTTAGCACTCGGTACATTTGAGTTCTGTTCATCTTTGGGCCACATGGGTACTTCCTCGTCTTCTTCCTTCTTCTTCCTCCTCCTCCTCTTCGGCTTATCCTACTCTTACGCTGAATTGGACAACGAGGCCTTGAAACAACAGCAGGCCGACCGTGTGGTTCGACTCCCCGGCCAGCCGCCGGTTGACTTCCACCAGTACGCTGGCTACGTCACTGTCAACGAAAGCCACGGGCGGGCCCTCTTCTACTGGTTCTTCGAGGCCACCCACGACGTCGAGAAGAAGCCGCTTCTCCTTTGGCTCAACGGAGGTACATAATTCTCTCTGCTCTCTGCATCAGACGATGCGTTTTCTCTCTCACCACTGCAATCCTGTATCGGTTCTCCGTCATTCTTAAGGCCATAATTGGCTCCTCAACTATTCTTCTTCTCTTAAGGCCTCTCCAGAGGTGCTCTTCTTTCTCCGAGATCCAGAGTTGTCCGCTATGGTAGGAACCTCTCATGCTATATCAGTTTCCTTTCCTTCGTTTGTACGTCAAAAGGGCAATGAGATGGTATCAGACAAATAGGTGGTTCCACCATCATCATGAAATTGACAAAAATCTTTCCAATTTCTACTTGGCCAACATGTTTCAGTGATATCATCAACACTGTCAATCCCCCCACCATGAATCCTTGTGTTCTATAACTGGGGCCTCTCATCATTCATCCCAACACCATCCGATACTCCCCTGTGCCTAATTATTTGCCTCTTTTGTTTGGCGCAAGGGGTTACTTTCCTCACTGAAGGATAAAAAACATGTATGGAAATAAATTCGCTGGCACATTATGGTCTTGCACAGCTTGCTGATATGATGATTGATCTGTTGACCAGTGGACGAATCGTAGTGTTGGTTGGCATCTTGATTACTAAATTATCAAATGTCAAACATTTTGCTGTGAAGGAACTTTACATTGGATTCTGTGTCCAGGTATTAATTTACGTAATAGTCAATCTACATTCCTTTTAAGATACTGCATCTTCTGACTTCATACTCTACGCAAACCCCTTCTTCGATCATGCAAACTCGCTGTAGTTCTCGTGCTTGACTTGATTTAATATGCATGCATCGACTGCTTCTCCATCCTGCGATGTAAAAGTATCCATGATTGAGGGGGGACACCCCTACAGATTCATGGCCTAAATGAGATGATATTGCTCTTTCAAGCAATAATGGAAATCATTGTAGGGGACCAAGTTCTGGTCAAACGTACCCGATTGAGATTAAACCCATTCCTCACGAGTGGATAGGAACGAAGTAAGTGCATCGAAAGGTCTAAAACTAGTGTGCTTTGATTACAAGTGTGTGGAGAAGCCATGAGTGGTGAAGAACTCTGGTCACTCTGTGACCTTCCAAAGGAAGGAAAGGTTACCGTTTACTTGTCGAGAAGGACAAATGAATGTTGGGACCATATGTGGACAGCAGCACAAGTTTCTAGCTTGCTTTGATTCATATTGCGAATGGTTCTTACTCTTCTCACCGGTCATTAGAATTGAACGTAATGTTCGGGGGAGAAAGATGAACTGGTTCTGAGTCATTCTCACCGTCCATCTGAATCGTCCGGTCGGCCAAACTTAAACTGCTTGGCCAATGATTGGATTGATTTTTCGAAGATTAGGTGTGCATCATGCATTGTTTTCCTGTCGGTGGGACGCGAAACTTCTACTTGACACAGCTAGATTGTGACTGCATGTTAACCAAGTTTGATTACAGGACCTGGTTGTTCTTCCATTGGGTACGGAGAGGCAGAGGAGTTGGGGCCTTTTCTGATGCAAAAGGGGAAGCCAGAGCTCAAGTTCAACAAGCATTCCTGGAACAAAGGCGAGTCTAATCCCCCTTAGACGAGTACATTTAGGATTTAAAACAAATGAAGAAGATTCTTATGGAAATCTAAATTTGCAGAGGCCAATCTGCTGTTTCTCGAGTCTCCGGTGGGCGTGGGATTTTCTTACACAAACACCAGTTCTGACTTGAGCTCACTCGGGGATAAGATCACCGGTAAGTTCTTGACGACATAGTGTTTCTAATTCATTGATGACAACAAAACTCCTCCTAAGATTTGTTACTATCTGCTCACTTGTTGTCGATCGATGACTAATTGTAGCTGAAGACTCGTACATTTTTCTGCTCAACTGGTTCAAGAGGTTCCCGCAGTTCAAATCCCATGACTTCTACATCGCTGGAGAAAGCTATGCAGGTAAAAACATTGGATTATTATGTTCAATTCGTGCTAAGTTTAGTGTTCAATCTTTGAATTGTGTCACATCATTAATTGTTCTTGTTGTTATCACAACTATGGTAGGGCATTATGTACCTCAACTTTCCGAGAAAATATTCGACGAAAACAAAAAAGCTTCCAAGGAGAATTACATCAACTTCAAGGGTTTCATAGTGAGATTTCTTTTCTGTTCTTCAGTTGGCTGTCACAAGCAGTCGTGGTCATACTAGTGGTATTTTCAGGACTTATGTTGAAGAATCGCTCATCTTAATTATGATCCCAACTTTTTGTCAGATTGGAAATGCGTTGATGGATGATGATACTGATCAGACCGGAATGGTCGACTACGCATGGGATCATGCTGTCATCTCCGATCGTGTGTACCATGATGTCAAGAAGAGCTGCAATTTTAGTGAAGAGAATGTCACCAAGGCATGCGATGATGCGTTAGAAGAGTACTTTGCAGTGTACGATATCATCGATATGTACAGCTTGTATGCCCCTGTTTGTGTCCGACCGAACACATCCATGTCTTGGAGCGAAAGGTCATACTTCGTCGAAGGCGCCTCCCCCAAGCTGTTCTCCAAATATGTAAGCTCTATGATCAATCCAACATCACATATTACTACGAAAACAGTGAACTTGATGGGCGTTTTCGCTGCAGAGCGGATGGCATCAGAAACCGGCAGGTTATGATCCTTGTGTCTCGCTCTACAGCGAGGTGTACTTTAACCGAGAAGACGTTCAAGAAGCTCTTCATGCCAATGTCACCAAGCTTGGTTACAATTGGACTCACTGCAGGTACTAGACTTTGTTGGCATGCATTACAAGATTTGTGTAAGAACACAAAGTTTCTGGGTTGTCTCTGATCAGCATTTGAGAGTTTATGACATTCTAGCAGTGATGTGATTACCCGTTGGAATGATGCACCGGCCTCTGTTCTCCCAGTCATCCGCAAGCTCATCCATGGCGGCATCAGGGTGTGGGTCTTCAGGTAAGATTCTGAACTAGTTTGTACTGTTCCTGAGTTGATCAAAAGAGAAAGCATCGCGAATCTAAATTTCTCCTGTTCTCAGCGGTGATACGGATGGAAGAATTCCAGTCACCTCCACGAGATACACGCTGCACAAGCTTGGCCTGAAAACAACTCGAGAGTGGACGCCATGGTACGACCACAAGCAGGTATGAGTTGCTTCCTCGATTGAAACATAATAGTTTCATCATCTGTGTACGGCCGCCCGAAGCTTTTCCGTGAATCATCCAGGTCGGTGGGTGGACGATCATCTTCGACGGGCTCACCTTCGTCACGGTGAGGGGCGCAGGTCATCAAGTCCCCACGTTTGCTCCCAGGCAGGCTCGACAGCTCATTCATCATTTCTTGGATGACCAGGAATTGCCTTCTTCCCCGTTCTAGCATATCCCACCAGGCTTGTCTCGGTCCCCAGCCGTCGTAGTTTCCTCTGCAAGTTCCATTTTGGAATCAGGTGTAAGCCCAGATTCCAATAGAGAAGAAGTTGGATGAAGGTTCAATCATTCATCAAGCAAGATTCTTCAATTGTTAATCCACAGTAGAAGAAAAATTATGTAAAGACGGTTTAATAAAATAAAGCATAGTGCAGGCTGTCTAATGCTGGTGGCAAGTAATGATTGATTATATCCAATCTACCAAGGATAAAATTCTCTGTGGGACAGTGTGTATGCTAAAAGAAGATTCATCTCTTTCAGAATCAGATTTCTGATTACCCTGTGCAGATGGTGACAATTGTCTACAGAATTTTAGTAACAGGATGAATCTTCATGAGCTGAAACACTATCCAAATTTTATTATCAAACAATTGATGATTTCAATAGTCTGAATCCCCCCCTCCCTGAAGCTCATAGTGTTTATGGTTCATCTGGTCAGTAACAAGAAAATAAGCATGTATTTAGATCATCCAAAAGGCTCCTTATCTGTAATTTGGATTCTACCTATCCTCATCTGACTGCAAGAAAACAGCTCACTTCATATATAGATTTCTTATTTTTATGCTTATCCATATTAGCCACAGCTTCTTAATTAATTAGTATGGTGTCACATATGCTCAAATGGTCTATCATTGAAATAGTGACTGTCTTCTGATCTGCGTAGCAGTTGATTAGAACCTGCTAAAGTTGAAGCATCCAAGTCTCATTGTGCTAATAAACAAGAGACATCGGCTGACTGTCCAAACCAAAGTAGGCCACAAACACTTTCGTATATAACAATGATATCCCTACAAGCAGCTGAAATGTCAGTCCTTATTCAATCTCCTCAGGCCATGGCAAAGACTTGGAAATCTAATTTCCTCAAACCATAGCATGGACATGGAATTCAACAACACAATCATGGTACAAAATTGCTAGGAAATGTTGAACAACAAGCTCAGAAATCAACATGTCAAGAGTACAAGTGCCTAACTTGTAGCCTAAAGGATGACTATAAATGTTGGGAGTTTGACTGTGGTATCACAACTAGAATTTCTCATAACAGGACAACTAAATCATAATGCTCATGTCTCTTCTGTTTGGTCTTCATCTAAACAAAAGAATTATTAGCTGGGATGGACTACTGCCAGAAAATAAATAAAGCATCTTGGTAGGTTGGGTCTGAAAGCAGATAAGATATGCCAAATGGAACTCTTCTCCAAACAGCAGCAAGAGCCAAGAATTGACCCACTTCATATTTTGATTACAAGATAAGGCATATCGTTAATACTTGTGATGCATTGATGGTCATCTAATTAGCATCGACAGACAAAGAAACACAGTACATGTTCTAGCTGGATTGTGAACCATACTACCAAGGAAATGGCAACACCAATTCCTTTTGAGTAGATCGAGAGAACATAATCCCTCAATCTTTACATGCTGCTACAACTCTACTTGCTCAGATTATGTTGCATGTGCCCGCCTTCATTTCCGAAAGAACAGCTTCCTGATATAAAGCCCTTCCAATTGGGAAGCATGCATTGTCTTTGAACCAATAGTTCGTAACCAGATCTGTAGCCGAGCTCATAACGGGATGCTGTAGAAGGCCCAATGGGCTTTCGAAGTTCGATACAGTCATCTTGGTGTATCGTCGGAAGCTTGTTGGGTCCGCCATCTACCTTATCGGACAATTGCTTCCACCCGTTCTCGAGATATTGATTTTGCGATGAAGGTGATCCTTAACCAAGTTGGCTTTGCAACATCGGTTGATGTCACAAACAACTATGTTGTACACTAACTATGATCTGAACATTTAAAATACATATTCATGTGATTTCGGTATGTATTGTTTAAAATAATACAAAATAAATAAATGGTTTGTGCGTCAGAGTCTGATCTACGAGGTTTCAATTAATGGTCCAAAAGACGGAATCTAATAATGACCTAAACAATGTTATATGGGTGCAGAATAGAATTTTACTTAATTCTCATTTGGTGTGTGTAGTAATGATGCACATAATTGGATGTGGGAGACAAACGGAGGATGCACAAATGTGTACAAAGAAAAGAGCAGAGGTGTAGAGGATCGCGAGACACATTTAAATTCAAAACACAAGAGAGTTGGGAGAAAGAAAGGAGGCACAGTTCCACCACGAACCTTGTTACTGATAGATTGTAAACATACATAATTGTATCTGGGAAAATTGAGGACGTATGAGGCCACACTTTTTGTGGACTACACACAACCTGTGTTGTTTGTTTCTCTCATATCAGCAAACAGAGACTCATGCATGACATCGTCAGTCTTCTCGCCGGTGCTCCGATGGCGTGATGT